TGACACACATGCACACATATGCCATTATATATATTCATATATATATAATATGTATATATAATATGTATGAATAGCATGCATGTCACACATATATACATAAATATATATTATGTCATATTGTTTAGTCATTTTGCACATATATAATGGAATACTATTTAGTCTTTAAAATGGAGATTTTGCCATTTGCGACACATGATGAACTAGGAAGACACTGTGCTAAGTGGAATAAGACATAGAAATACAAATACTTCAGTCTCCCTTACGAACAATTTTTAAAATTATGCTGTACACTGCAGAAAGATTGTTTAAGACATGCATTAAAAAAAGGTAGTAGATTAAGACCATGAGTGAAAATGCAGTCAGAAGCCAGCAGTATAGCAGGAGGCAGAGGCAGAGGCAGAATGCACTTCTGAAAGGTCTATTAATAGAAGGCTGAAGGTAAAAACCATCCACCGAAAGCATTAGGACAGTGTGGTGGCCCTCTGGACCCTGCGTGTGGTGTTAAACTATTCTGTGAAGCCAGTCGCCATACTCATTTCCAGCTTTTTAAAGGAAAAACTTAGAGAATTATTTAAAAATCTCCCAAGATGACATGCAAGATGATAGCCCAACTTGAACTACGTTTTATTCTGCAGCTGTTTGCTGCAGGTCTACAGAGCAGAGCAACGCATGAAGGGGCAGGGGTGTGGCCCATGCTCCATACCCAAGCCCCTGGGGCCCATTCCTGGCTCTGCCAGTCAATTCCAGCTTCCTGCTAATGATCAAGTGGCTGGGTCCCTACCACCCTCAAGGAGACCAAGACTGAAGCCCTGGCTTCACCTGGGGCCTGGCTTTCACCTGCCCAGGCCTTGGCTGCTGTGAGCATCTATGGAGTAAACCTGTCGATGTGAGCCTCTCTCTCCCTCTCTGTCTCTCTGATATCAAATATGAAAGCAAAATAAAAGAAACAGACCCCAGCCTCAAGAACATGAGAATGTTTGAGGGAGATGCAAAAATGAAAAAAAAAGAAAAGTCTACAATACCAAGCAGAGCGAAGCAAGTGCCTTAAAATAGGCATAGACTTCTTATTTTTTATTTATTTATTTTTGACAGGCAGAGTTAGACAGTGAGAGAGAGGAATACAGAGAGAAAGGTCTTCCTTCCATTGGTTCACCCCCAAAATGGCCTCTACGGCCAGCGCGCCACGCTGATCCGAAGCCAGGAGCCAGGTGCTTCTCCTGGTCTCCCATGCAGGTGCAGGGCCCAAGCACTTGGGCCATCCTCCACTGCCTTCCCAGGACACAGCAGAGAGCTGGACTGGAAGAGGAGCAACTGGGACAGAATCCAGCACCCCAACCGAAACTAGAACCTGGGGTTGCGGCGCTGCAGGAGGAAGATTAGCCTAGTGAGCCACAGCGCCAGCCGGCATAGACTTCTGAGAGTTTAAGAACACATTCTTGGGGCCAGCGCTGTGGCACAGTGGGTTAAAGCCCTGGCCTGCAGTGCCGGCATCCCATATGGGTGCTGGTTCATGTCCCGGCTGCTCCACTTCTGATCCAGCTCTCTAGAAGATAGCCCAAGTCCTTGGGCCCCTGCACCCACGTGGGAGACCAGGAAGCTCCTAGCTCCTGGCTTCAGATCAGCTCAGCTCTGGCTGTTGCGGTCATTTGGGGAGTGACCCAGAGGATGGAAGACCTCTCTCTCTGTAACTCCGTCTTTCAAATAAATAAAATAAAATATTTTTTTTTAAAAAAGAACACACTGTTTTGTGGGGGTCGTCAGCTGAGATGAGTCTGTAAGAAAAAGGAAGCGATGACTGGATGGAGACGGAATCGGAAGGAGAAGCAGGAGGAAGGCAGAGGTATAGACACAGGACGCTCAGGAGCATCTAGAAGCCCACACAGTCACGGTGTCAAAGATGTGCAAGGGAGACAGGCTGGGGAGTGGCCAAGGCCACATGGTGATGGCTCTTGAAGGGGAAGAAGGACTTGTACATCTGCATGGAACTGGCTGAAGACTTTAGACCTCCTGATCCCAGTTCTTGATCAGCTCACTCCTCTCTGAAAGCATGCGGTCTCTGCAATAGGAGATTCATTCAGAAAGAAAAGACCCAGACAAAACCGATTTAAAGCAAAACCTATTTCCTACATTTCCGCAGGACAGTGTCTTAGCCTCGCATGAGAGTGTCTTAATTTTTGGAGCACACTAGTATTTTCTGTTACTAAGCTTTATCCAGGCATTCTCCTTGGCAAGAGTCTGCTTCTGAAGCTCAAGCTTAACAAACGTGTCCATTATCCTGATTACAATTCTTCCCTGCAGAAATCCAGGGGCAAAAGACTTCATGTCTGAAAGAACTGTTCTGGATCACAATATGTCTCAGGCCTCAACTTGTACCTGTTCTGTAAAGGAAAAATACTCATTTTGTATTGTAAAAATTCTTAACATGCAGTCACCAGTCATCAATAAAATAATTAACCAGCCATTTGCCCAATAATCTGACCTATGTCTATTGTACAGGAACTATTCACATGAGTTAGCCACCTGTCACAATAGTTCCCTGTAGGAATATTTGCAGACAGAAAATATATGCCTATGACAGTACAGGTGGGTCTCAACAGAGACACGCCCATAACAAACTCTACAAATTGGCAATTCCAAGGAAACTGTTTAACATCAACAGAAGTAACAGAAAAATATCCAACCAGAAAAGGAACTAAAGTGTAAATGGTATGCTAAACCGACTGCTTGTCTCTAAAACAGATAGAAGAAATTAGCAGTCTCTCTGCCCCCTAGTGGCAATAAAATCAACTGCAGTATTAACTAAAGGCACTTAAAATCTCCCTGTTACGAAATCAGATATTTTCTCCTTGTGCTAAAACGTCTGTAATAAAAATCCTGTCTGCTAGATGCCAAATTCCAAGATCGTTGGGTTTCTTCCCCTGTACTGAACTTTCAGAGGAGCTATTTTACAAAGGAAACCAATGTTGTCTTCTCTGACTGTGTATGTTCAGTAGGCTACCATTTCGTTCCAAGATTATGAAAACTACACCTTGACTGATGCCAAGGAGAGAAGTTACTCCACTGTACAAGAGAGTCACCATCAACTTCAAAAGTGTTCCTTTTTTTACTGCCTCTTATATAAACATTGAGTTCCAAGAGCAGATTTCCATCAGAAATACTCAATTAGTTGACAATACCACTCCATTTATGCTGAACAATTCAGGTATTTTATATTGCCCAAAGTAAAAGCATTCGATTACCCGGCCCATCTTACAGTGGAAGGAATCCCATCCTCAACTTCAGAACTTTAACAGCAACTTCAGGACACAGAGAAGATACAGAGCCTTTCCTCAGTGAGATTTTTAATGAAAAAGTTTAGGAAAAAGAAAACACATTTGCTTATTGCTTTTCTATCTTTTTATTGTAAATCCATCACCTACTCCTGGTAGTAGACAAACAAGTTTTCAATCAAACAAGTTGGGATGCATTCTGGCACCACCCTCCAGTCCCCCAGTCGCCTTTGTCAATGACGTAAGCTGCTTTTTAAACACTTTAATTCCATGAATGTGACCATGAAAACTGCCAATGCACCTTTTTAATACGTGCTGTTTCCCGGGGGGGGGGGGGGTAAAAGCATCACCTTTTCAATCTGTGCAATGCACGAGAGTAATAAACACAAGGCGCCATACACAGGAACAACCTATGTCCACCACTGCGCAACAATAACGTACGGCAAAGAAAATCAAAACCAGGAAATGTTGCATTTTATTCCTTGCTTTAAAAGTGGTGTCAACTCCCCCCAGAGATTTCCCAACATACACACACTCTCACACCCCTCCAAACACAAATGCCCCCGTAGTGCACCACCTGTGTTTTCTCCACAGAATCTACAGGAGAGACAGACACAGTATTTTGACTTTTCTAGATCGCAGCGTGGTAAAATTTCATTAAAGGGTTTCTTTGGAGGTCCACCTTCCTGGAATCCCCAGCTGGCATCCATCTGTGACTCTCAGGTCTGATGGCTGGGGACGCTTGCTGGCTTTCTGGGCATCCTCCACCAGACCCCTCCCCCAAGTTACACACACACACACACACACACACACACACGCACAAACGCAAAGCTAAACACAAGTGAACGTCCTAACACAAAGTTTCCCTTTCTTTTCTCTTCTCTCCAAGTGCTTCTCCTTTCACCTCCTCTCCCCGCTAGCTTACAAATCTCTGCCAAGACCCCTCTCAGCCTGTGTCTCCACTCTGGTCACCCAAGGGCAGAAATGCGGAGCCGGCACCCTGTTGGCGAAGGGCAGGGTCCCAACAGGCAGGCACCCCGCAGGCTCCCGCTCAACCAGGGGCGCAGCTCGCCACAGGACGCGCACCTGGCCGGAGCCGTCGCCTGAGAAGGGGGCGCAGTCACAGGGCGCATGCGGAGCCAGGCTCCTCGCGGGGACCGGCCAGGGCGCGGGGAGGGAGCCCGGCACGTTTGGGCCTCCGTGAAGCCTGCGTGCGGGAGCTAAAGGGTCGGGGGGGGGGGTCTCCCGGGGGCGCCCCCCCCCCCCCCCCCTGCCCACTTTAAGGGCCGGGGCCACACCTGCCCCGCAGCACAGCCAGGGCCCGCTCAGCCCCCCAACGACCAGGGGGAGGCCGGGGCGACCACCGGGAATCTTCTGCCAAAGGGAGCCCTGCAAGCCCCGGCTGCCCGCGCATCCCCCACCCCCACTCGCCGAGTTTCTCCGAGCGCTGGGGAAGGAGGAGGTGGCGGCCGGGCGCCCAGCGCTGGGAGAGACACCCACCGCAGGAGCTTCGCTCCCAACACCGCAGCCCTCCCAGGGCTACCTGGAGCAGACGGTCCCACCCCATCCTCTCGTGTCCACCTCCCCTCCACTGGGAAGCTCGGCTGCACCCGGGGCGCAACCTCAGCAACTTTCCCCAGGGCCCACAGTCGCGCCGGGGGTGGGCTGGGGGCCCGGGGCCCGGGGAGGTCCTCAGCCGCCCACGGAACCGCCAGCGGAAGCGCCTCTTACCGTTCCTTCGGCGTCCAGGCTCCCCTTGGGCGAACTGACAGCAGTCCATCAGAAAGTGGCAAAGTAGCACAACTCCCGCCGCAGCCAGGTCGGCCCTGGGGAACCGCGCCATGTCGCCGCCGCCGCCGCCCCGCGACCTCGTCCCCCCGGCCGAGCCTTCCTTGAACCCCGCGCTCCCGGGCTCCGGGTGCGGACTGGGGCCAGGCGGGGAGCGCCGCAGATCAGTCTCGGCGGGACCCGGAGGCCTCCGTACACGTCGCCCCGATTTCACGCCCGAGCGCCGGGGACCGCAGGAAGGGATGCGAGGCGGAGCGCAGCCCTCTCCGGACCCCTGGGGGTCTCCTCGCAACTTGCAGACCTCGTCGCCGCGCCCCGCGCAGGAAACAACCGCGGGGCGACGGGGCCACTCGCGGCCGGGGCTGCTGCAAACTCTCGGCTCCGCACGGGCAGCGCCGCTCCGGCGCCCGCAGACGGCGGCTTCCTAGCGCCCGCGACGCGCTCCGCTGGGCTCCGAGCAGAGCGGATTCCACAGCCAGCGCCGCGGCAGGCTCCAAATCCAAGGGCGCTGTGGGTTCCGAGGAACTTTCCCCGGCCCTGGGATGGTCCCGGCGGGAGGCCTCGATTTTCAGGCGGGGGGGGGGGGGTCTGGGCTGGGGAAGCCCCTCCGACGAGTTTTTGCTTCTTTCCTTCGCCCAGCGCAGGGCGCGCGTCCTTTCTGGCCGCCGGAGCGATGGGCAGCTCGAAGAGCTGAGCCCACGGAAGGTTGGAGCTGCAGCAGTCTGAAGGTCCGAAGCCCGGAAAATGAGGCTTTAACAAAGAGAAGAAAGGAAACGGGGGGAAGTCAGGGTGAGACCCCTCGGGAGAGGGTTCCTCGGGCTGAGAGGGAGGCGGCCCCAGCCGCGCCGCGCCGCGCCGCACCGCGCCCCGGGAGTTTGGTGGCGGAGCCGCCGCGGCTGCCGCGCTCCCCCGTGCTCCTGCCCCACGCTCTGGGGAGGGAGGCGGCGCGCGATTCGCCGGAGCGGCCGCCGCGCCTCCTCCCTCCGCCCCACGCCCTCCCCCTCGCGCCGCCGGGCTTCTCCCACCTTCCTCCCGAATCCCGCAGCCGGCACCGACCTGCCCAATGGCTGCACTTTCCTTGGCTGGCAGCGGAGTCGCCGACAGCCTAAGCCGGAACGGCCCGGCCAGGAGAAGGGCGAGGGCAGCTCCAGCCCCGCGCGCCCGCGCCGCTGGCGATCCGGGGCGCCGGCCGTGAGCGGAGTCGGTGGTGGAGACAGGGGAGGGAAGCACGGGGCGGCTTCCCCGCGCCGACGGGGCGCCATCCTCGTACCGGCCCGAGACCTCGGCAGCCCGGGCGCTGCCCGCACCCACCTGGCTCCATAACCGACTCCACTCACGAATGTGACTGGGAGGTGGGGGCGGAGGGCGCAGGGCCCTGGCCCACGCGCCTGCGGGGTCTGCTACGCGCTAGGGGTTCATTACAGCGCCCTTCCAGTAGGGCTGCTCTACGTTAGTTGGGGGTGGTGAGCAAAGCAAACCGGAGCCCCGCGGCTCCCTGACCCCGCGAGCCCCTCCGGCCCCCAGCCCCGCGCTGGGGGACGCCAGGCGCTGGCTCGGCGCGGCCCCGCCGCCGCCGCTTTGTCAAGTGTCGGCGGGAGCGAAAGCTCGAGTTTAAAGGAGCAGGAGGCCCGGTGAATTTCCTAGGGGCTTTCTCAGGCTTGTGCCCGCTGGTCTTTTTTTTTTTTTTTTTTTTTTTTTTTTTTTTGTCCAGCTCTCGGATCTGCTTAGGCGTTAACCCGTTCCGGGCCTCTCAGGAGTTTACGTCTTACTTTGCACACGGTTAACCTCATTTGAAAGAGATGAATACAAAGGAAAAAGAAGCAAAGCTTTCTGAGTTATAGGTAACAAGTGCTGGAACCAGACTGCCCGTGCTGGGAGTTCACCTCTAACAGCTGGAGCAATTCACCTAAAATGGTGAGAATTTATAACAACGCCCTTATAAGATAGTTTGCAGTGGATTAGCTGAGCTAATGTTGCACACTTTCAAATTTTAGAACACTTCCTAGCACGAAGGCCACGCTTTGTGTTTCTTGAAGAAACATGAAAGAGGACGAGACCTAACTCAAACAGCACGGTAGCATGAGTTCCAGGTTCCGAAGATCCTGTTCCCTTCTTCTTGTCCGTGCTACTGCATGCTCTGACTTTATGGATGCTGTCAGTGGGGACCTCAGCTTGTCCCAGAACCCACAGGAAATGGGTCAGGAGAATCAGCCGACTGTGCCCATTTCATGCTGGAGAATTGGTTCGCTCATGGGCAACAGGGGGTGTAACATGTTTTCCCTGATCTGACACCCATCCTGCTCTTTATTGCAGAACAACAAATGCATACATGTGAATATATGAATGTGTCCGGCCTGCGCCATTATTATGGCAAGACCCTGCCTCCTAAGCTTCCTCCCAGCCATTTGATTTCTTCTTTCCCACCATCCTTAGGAAACTTCGGTCTTCTTTTGCTGTTCAGCCTGGGGTGTTTCGTAAGTTCTATGTAATGGCGCATGCACGTTTGAGTGCCTAATGTATTTGCCATTAACATGAAGTTTGAAAATTGTGTCTTTTGATCAAAAGTTGGTTGTAGTTTAACTGATGTTAACGTGTTGTCTGTACCCTCTGAGAGGTCACTAGTTCATGAATCCATAAAGAAAACTTCCCCCAAATTTTCTGCTTAATACCAATCTCTATTTTATGCGAAATTGTGGGAACTCTAGCAGGCAGTGCCTCAGAGAAGCGTCCCTCTTAGTCTGGGGTATTTCCCCCTCCTATGACAAGAGAAAAATAGGCGTTTCTTTGAGAAGGAACTTCCATTCTCTCCCTGCTTTCCTTTTCTTTCTTTTTTTTCCTTCATTATATTTCCATGTGCAAATTAGCAGTGTTTAGTTTTCTTGTTGCTTGTTGTTAGCATTGCTTTGTCCTCCTGAGGCTGTATATCTTTTTTTTTTTTTTTTTTTGACAGGCAGAGTGGACAGTGAGAGAGAGAGAGACAGAGAGAAAGGTCTTCCTTTGCCGTTGGTTCACCCTCCAATGGCCGCCACGGCCGGCGTGCTGCACTGATCCGAAGGCAGGAGCCAGGTACTTATCCTGGTCTCCCATGGGGTGCAGGGCCCAAGTACTTGGGCCATCCTCCACTGCACTCCCTGGCCACAGCAGAGAGCTGGCCTGGGAGAGGGGCAACCGGTGTATATCTTTTGTACCTGCAAAATGTTGCAAACATTTAAAGGCAGCCAAATGGTAGTTCACAGTCTGGGGAGACCTGTAATTGTCTCACCAGTGCTGCAGAATCCTGTTGCCTTACTCTTACCTTAATCTTATTCTTTAGAGTTGCACACACACAGAATACTTAAGCATGGGAGATGACACAAGGAAGCAGAAATCAATGATATGTTGCCCAGAACTTAATAAGAAAAAATATAGAGTAATAAACTTGGGCTGTGATACTTTGCGTTAAATGTCATCCAATAACTATATGTAAAAATTTATTTTGTTTTTATATTGTGGCAAAGCAACAAATAAAGAAAATATGTAGGACAGTACGTTCAGAGTGAAATGGAAAGAGTTGATTACTCGTGTAATTCTGGGTAATTAAAAGGAGTGCACTTTGTGGCCCAAATTGTTTGAGTCTGCCACATACATTTCACCATCATGAAAGTGTCCATTTCAGTTTTATACTGACAAATTAAGAAGTCTTTGTGGGAAAACTTTCATCTTTAATCCAGCATTAGAAAGAAGTTGGAATGAGTAGAGGTTTGTTTTCACTTACTATAGATGTAGGAAAAGAAGCGCTGGGTTCTTCCGCCCACTGGCATAATCTTGAGCTCCTTTCCCAAAGTACGGATGAATCAGGACTCACAAATGGATAGCACTGGTGATCTTTGTCCATGGCAAAGATGTGGTATTCATAAGACACTCCCTCCTTTGAGATCATGTGTCAGGAGCAGGTGTTTAGCCTAGTAGTTACAACCATCCTGTGGGAGTACCTGGGTTCAATTCCCAGCTCCAGCTCCTCACCACCCCCCCCCACCACTTCCTGTCAATGCAGACCCTGGGAGAAAGTGGTCAGGACTCAAGGAATTGGGTTCCTGCCACTCCACAGGGGAGACCTAGACTGAGTTCCTGGCTCCTCAGTTGAGCCAGGCCCAGCCCTGGCTGTCATAGGAATTTTAGGTGTCTTCTAGGGGATAGGATCTCTCTCTCTCTCTCTCTCTCTCTCTCTCTCTCTCTCTGCCTTTCAAATTAATTGATTGATTGATTTTTTAAAAATCATGTATCTGAAGCATTTTCAACAACATAGAACTTTGAGCAGACATCAGTACCTAAGCTATTTCTATACAGATCTGAAACCTGTTTACAACTTCTTATCGCCACTAACTTTCAGAATGTTTTTTACTCATTCCAAGTGCAGTGCTATCTGTAAACTTAAAATTAACCCTCTCAACCCACCTCCACCTCTAACAACACTGTGTCTCTTGGGAGCAGCTTTGGTTGGCAGCTGGCCAACAGATGCTCAGGAAAACAGCATGGTCACTTGGAAAACCCTGAGATGCAACAAGGCTGGTAAGTACTCAGCATTTCTCAAAGCGTTATTTAAAAATTATTATTTGAGGACATAGTCTTTGTCTATTGCAACAAGATTTGTTAAAACTTTCTACAGTTGCTATGAGCTAAAGGAGGGAAAGTGTTACTGGTGAATTGCTTTGGTTCAGTCATAACATTAGGACCTTCCCTCTGGGTCTGTAGCACTCCCTCTCTGGCCTCATTTGCTAGGGCTAATTTTTTTACCTGTGGTATGCAATTACAAGACTTGTTTGTTCATTTTGGATGACCTGCTCTCAGAATCAATCAAGATTTCATTATACTGTTGATGGATATTCTACCTATGTCTTCTTTATAGTTTTAGGTACAAAATTATGAATAGAGTGTTTTGAATAAATACACATTAAAAACTCAACTAACCTCACTCTCTTTAAAACAGGAATATTTATCATGCAAGAATAATGCTTTTAGCCTCAAAGGAATACTAAAATTTCTACTTATAGGAAATTAACAGTACAACTATATTTGGCAGATTCATAATGAACTAATACACTGCATT